GCCACTGACAAAATTTTTTCTTGTCTTGAGTATCTTTTCTCATTCATTTTTTCATGTTGACAATAATAATTTCTTGTAATCCAGGATATCTGAAATTAGTTAACATTAAATCTAGGACTGGCAGCTTGGTCCTCGTTTGGAGACACTTGCCTAAATATACTGTCCTCCCTGGAAATGTGCTGCTCCTCGCATCCCTGTGGCCTCAGTGCTCCATGAAGGCTTGCAGTTTTGTTTATGCCTTCAGCTATTTAGGTGCATCATCCTTACTTGGATTTGTTTCTGCAGAGCATCATTCACAGTAGCAAAGGAGAAGAATAAGCAAATCTAGCAGCATGCAAAAACTGAAACTTCCTAAAGCTTTAAAGTTACCAAAAATGAAGTACTAAATTTAAAATATACTCAAATTAGCTGTTTCCCTCCACAACACGTAAGCAACGTATGTGACTACTGAAACCTGGGTTACAGTCTCAGATCATCACCCTGTGTGCAGTGCATTCCTGTGAGCACGCAGTGGCTCCAGTAAAACCGCAGTGGGATCACAAAATGGGAAAGACAAACAAAATATCCTGGAGAGTCTTACGTGAAGGTAACTAACATTTGTTTGTCTGCACAGCAAGTATGCTACTAGTGAAAAAGCATTTTGCTTCATATATAATTAAATAATGATACATCTTCAATCATTCAATAAAGCAGATGATACTTATTTTTCCCAAGTCTTTTGACAGAACTTAAGTGAATAAATCCTCTGTAAATTGGCTGTTGATCTTTGTGCAGGAAAAGATTAAACAGATTTGCTGGATTATTCATCAAACCATTGTGTCCATTTAATACCTGATTTTGCTCAAAAGAAAGCAAACAAAAATTATCTGTCATTGCTAAAAGCTGGAATCAAAATATTGAACCTGATGAATGAATATCGGGACTAGAGAGAGAGCATACCACTGCCCTCTGAAGAAGACGCTGTCTCGTAGCCATGCTGTAAGCTAACAGGAGCACAACAGCAAGGACAAGAAAATGAACCGTGCGGTAGGCCATGGAAAGACAGCAACATTAGGTAGCACATTTCAAAACACTGCTCCCACCAAGTCCCTAAGTTTTTAAAGAAGGGTGATTCAGGGCAGTGGTAATTATATGGTAATTATTGAGCCAATAAATTCAGCAATCAACTAATGCATTTGTATCTGGCCCTTCAGACCTCACATTGCTCCTGCTCCCTGGCTCAGTGATGACAAATAAAGGAAACTATGCTTGGGAAGGGTATGAAATGACAGCCTGCCCAGAGCAGTTTGGACAGCTTTCTAGCCCTACACCTTCACTACCGAAAGTAAGACGAATCTCTAAATCCTGCGTATTATTTGGTTGTATTTGGAAACTGAATGTAACTAAATGTAAACACCACATGGTAAATGTCTGACTACCTATGAACAGACACATCTTTTTGCTTTTTAGGATAATGACGATAGAGCAACAGCTTTGTCATCCTCATCCATCCCTGTACAGATCAGAGTGGTTGGAAATGTCATTGTGAAATGTATCTCCCAGGGTTATGACTTTTATACACAATATGAGTACTCTTCTAGACAAAGCAGAAGCATTTCTACTCACAAAGCGGCAGCATTTTCCATGACGACTGGCAGGTTTATTTTGTTTTGCTGTTTGTTTGCTTGCATGTTTTCCTTTTTTGAGAGAGAGAAGCATTTGTTAAACTGACATTGCATTAATGAGCTGCTAATTCTATCTATCCTGCTGCGCTAGTGCCAGTATTTCACACAATAGTATTTTTCTGTCTTGGGAGAATCTGGGTCTTACACAGGTGGGAAAAGATGATCTGAATCAATACATACATCTCTCTCTATATATATATATGTATGGTTTTTAATGCATTGAAAATGATCCCTGTATTTTATTTTTAATCATAGGGTTTTAATTCATAGGGAAAAACTAGTTTTCCCATGTGTATCAGAAATGAACATTGATCAAATCATTCCAAAAACTAAAGCAAACCTGATTTTTTCTGGGTCTAGAAAGCCAATAAGAGCATCTTAAAATTGTAGTGACAGTGGAAGGATAAACTGTGTGCTTCAAAACATACGTATCTTCAAACCAATTTAATACTCAAAGGATTTGAGAAAGAGTGAGGAGGAGCTTTCACTTCATGGCTTTCTTTACATAGAATTTCTTCATAAATGGAGATGAAAATCACAACCTAGATGCGGGAAGTCATACATAAAGCATTACCAACCTTCATTTACAAGCAGATTAGCTATTATGGCATAGCCTTAGAATACTATACTGGGTTTAAAGCTGAATTACACTGTCATTATAATAGATGGAGTCTAAAAATCCTGGGTTTTTTGCTCCATTCTTGAGCTTGGTTTTGCTCAAGCATCACCTTACAGAGCCTCTTTCCTGCTTTCCACTGAGTTCTCTGCTCCTGAGCTCGCAAGCAGTGTCCCTTCATGCAACCCTACTTCTTCAGCATTGATTTCCAACACAAACAGGGAGGCACAGTACAGTAGATCCCAGGTCCATAAGATGTTTACAATTACTTTAGCCCTTTTTATTGTGAGGATGCTCCAAAATCCTTTGTTCAAGTTAGCTCCTTAATACAGCATCATATATATTTATCTTGTAGTTTAAAATACAAAGCCGCACTATCTGTGACCTGAAACTGTGAAGATTACATTTCAGAATAAAACCTCAGATGATTGATTTATCATCTAAGGAAGAAAACTACAATTTAGTGATGAGGATAAGAAAGTACAAAGAATTTACATAATTAACCTTGGCATGGAGAGACTGGTCAACTCCCAGAGATTACTTAGCACTGCTGAATGCTTGTATATACTGGCTTTTCTTGCAGATTATATGTGACAAGAATAGTCTTGGGGAGTTATTACATAAGAAGGACTATTTAAAGTTCATTCATTTTAGTGTAATTCTGACATTTCTAAATTAAAAACAGCCTGCTTCTTGTTCTTGTGGTGTTGGAGAAGCTCAAAGAATCTCCGGTATGGAAAATATATTCTCACTTCACAGTGCAGTGTTTCGCATCAGGAAGTGACTTTATTAACCACAATGCACTATATTACAACTTCTCCTATTAATAATTTCTATGTGCATCATGCACTACACGCTGCAGAATCCCCTGGTGAAGTCTAATCTCACTGCCCTAACACTCACAAGCCCTATTCTTGTAGTCATACAGATTTAATGAGAAAAAAAATGATTGGAGAAAGACAACTTATGCTGAATACTGAAGAACTAATTCATGTCTACACTAGTGTATTACCAAAACAATGAGGTAGGAGTCCTTTTCAAAACAGGTTCAAGTTTTTGTGGCCCATCCAATTGAACCACAGCATTTTAAACTTCTGACGACAGAATACAATTTAACTTCACAGAAACCGGCCTTCAAATATTAATAGTGAACTTCTTTGTTTGTACAGATCCTACTGTTAAGACACAGAATTTGCTTAATGGGATGCCATTAGCTTTCGCTTTTATCTGGCATTGTCAGCACATGCATTAAGAAGAATCATCTGAGGATCCCATAGCAGGTGCGGGTAGGACAGTCATCCCGGCAGTGCCTTCCAGCTCTCTGCCCTGACACGAGTGACCATGCGACGGCTTTCCCAGAGCCATGCTGGACCAGAGAGCCACCCCAGCACTGCCTCCTGTCACTCCCCAGGGGCAACTGGGGCAGCAGGAAAAGAATCACAGATTTTCTGCAACACCTCTGGTAAATTTGTACAGTTTTAGAGGCAGAGGCTTAGAAATAGGAAAGGGGAGACCAAAAAAAGTGGAAGTGTGATACTAAAGGCAAGTCCTCTCTAAGGAGAACTGTGCAAGGTTCTGAACTTTGGTCACACTGTTTATGAAATACATATATGAAATGTTAAAATCCATTTACTTGGCAGTATTTAGCTTTTAAGAGAGCTTCTAAAGAATGCTGTGCACAAAGATGCCATTTTCATGGAAAACAACAACTGTTCCAGGATATGACATGGCAATCAACCCCTAATCTAAATATGCACATATATCTCAGAAGATTAAAAATGTTCCACAATCCCTATATGAAATCAGCACTGACTTTCCTTCTTGGGCCAATTCTATCCTGCTTTCCTGTAGAAAGCACTTCATCTGCAATATTTGGTCAGAACAAATTTCTTAAATACTGCTTAGTAACTTCCATATGAGATACCGTAAAGAGCTATTAAAAAACATGCACAATTCCCTTTATTTCCTCTCACAAACCAGATAAAGAAATTTATTACTGTGTGTCATGTATTATGCAACATTTTGGATAGAAGTAATCAGGAGTACCACGTCTAAAAGGGATAATTAAAAGGGGGGGAAGGGGGGAGGAAGAGCAAAGAATCCTGATTTAAACCTTGGCAGTTCCCATATGACAAACTGTTTTGAGAAAACATCCACATCAACTTGGATTAATACAGATTAATTTTTACAGTTATTCTAGTACAGGTGACAAATATAAAATCCTCACAAGTAGAAGTGACAGATTTCAGTTATTAGGTGATAAAAGCTGCCTACCTAATCTAATACTTCTATAATTTCCAGGGATACCTCTTTAACGCTGCACATCTCGTCTTCCAAAATATTACCACGTTCAAAAAAGATGCAAGTGATTCAGGCACAGCCTCCAGAGCATTTTCGCAATTTTACCTCATATTTGAAGTACACAACAGCACAATTTTATTAACTCAGCTTCATACCCTCTAAGACCAATTTCTGCCATCTTCTACATCAGATCCAGAGCAGTATTTATTCTCCAAAGCACATAACATCATTTCCATGCGCACAGTTATCAGTGCAGAACTCTTGCGTGTTCCCTTGGAACATGTGAGAATCATTGCTTAAAAAGGGCATTACGGAGTTAACAAAAAACAATATTCTCCTTCAAGAAACATATAATGGCAATAGAATGGAAAATTACCAAGGTTATGTAGGGGAAACAACCCCAAACCAATAAGCCTTACTTGTGCAAGGTGTGAGACGGACGGTCATTTTTCTCCAGTTGTCCATAGCAGCTAGTTTTTGCTTCAGGAATGAAGGAGTATTTTTCCAGCATGGCTGATGCAGCAGTGGCAATAATCCCAAGGCCATCCCGTACCCGAGCTTCTAAACTGTAGTCCCATTCATCATAAGATGCTGAAATGAGTCCTGAAGGAAACTCCTTGGGAGTGATTTCTGTGTTACCACTAACCAGGCTGGGAACTATCCAAAAGAAATCATAGCCAGTAAGGCCCAGGGAACGAGCCTCATCCAGTATGTAGACAGCTTCATCCTTGGAACAATATAGCAGGATGACGGATGAATGAATTTTCTTCAGCTGAATTTGGGTCTTGGCGTCTCCAAAGGCGGTATCAAGTACGATGATGTTCTGCATGTCCCAGCCCACAAAACTATTTTCCACTGTGGTCTTAATGACATTGATGAAGTCTTGATATCCAGGGAAGGTGGTGGTCACCAGAGAGAACACATGCCAGTCATAATCCTGCATGATCTTCAGCATGACGATGGCTTCTTGCTGGATAGAAGCCCCAAACTGGAAGAATGTGGACATCACATCCTAGAATACAAAACACAGTGAAAGATTACTAATTTCGTACAAGTCTGAAGGGAATAGAATCTCTAATTCTTCTGCTCTCTTTGGCCCACCATGGCTACCAAACTTTCATTGCATTCAAATAACTTTGTGCCTTATCATATTCATATCATTAACAAGCCAACACTGATCATAAGTAAGTACCACAGCTAATTAGAATATTTGCCAAAAAGTGACAAACAGATATTTACATAGGAAATTTCTGAGTGCTTGATCACTTGAAGACAACAAGTCAAATCAGTACTTACTGAGGAAGCTCCCTAGAGACAGCCACCCACTGTTAAGCAACTCATCTCCAGCAGGTAGCTTTAGAATGATCAAACTTATTAGGAATGCGACCCAATAAATTCATACCAATTTTTAGTTACAATGGAAATAAATTGCAATGCACATGCTGAAGAAGCTCTGTACTTCCAGACCTAATGTCTGAGGGATACTTCATTTCCACAGGTTCACTGGTCTTGGTGGAAGCTGTCAAACTCTGCAGAAGTAGATTTATCATCCCCCGGTACCGAGTTCACTACTGTTCGTGGGCTCACTACTGACCATGCTCCATTCAGAGCACATGGCCCATTGATGCCTGATGTAGAATTAACAGGATGGGACTCCAGGGACAACGAGCAAGCTGCCAGTGCCCTCATTAAAGGACTTAAATTGAAGTAAATTTAAACAATGGCCTCATAGCCTGTAACTGGTAGCGGCATTGCCTGACACAGCTCTGCTGCCAGTTTGCTAGGAGACTTGTTTCTAATATTTGTCTTAGGCTTTTACAGTATTCATAACATTTTATACAGCATAAGGGCAGGTGCCTCTTATTTTAACAACATCTATCAGAAATAGGCAACAAAGTAATATATTTTCTTGGCACTAAATTTACAAACATTTTCATTGGTCTATTTTTACCAAGTTGCTGTAAGATCTAAATTTATGTTTGAATTTTACATTCTAGATTTATATACATCACAATTATTAGAGTACCAAAACTATTCACAGGAAGCTATATAACTTTATTTTCATTTTACTTCAGTATTTATTCCTGAGGAGCAGTGGCAACTTATGTGCATCATTTTCAGATACAGAAAGCATGAACTCCTGCT